TAATATCTTCCCTCAGGTTTTCATCTGAGTGTCAAGGACATGGAAGCCAATGATTCTCATTGTGGGACTGTGGAGACGGATTCAGAAAGGGCAGAAACTATGTTAGTATAAAGATACAAATTGTACAAATTAGCCATAGGCTTCAACTTCCCCTGCCTGTGTATTTGGATAAATAGAAGTCATTTGCTGCCCCAAAGATGCACACTGTCCATCTCAGAATCAGGGCATGGAGCAGCAGCAAGACTTCCAATGCCTTATTTGAGTGGTTAAAAAGCCAGCACAGAAGTCTAGGGAGACAGCAGGAGTTACCACTGCTCAGACCTCCTTCAGAGGCTCCTCCCACTCCTTTTTTTTTTTCTCTGCCCAAAGGACTTTTCTTACCCAGGATGCTTTTACATGGAGACTTATAATGAAAGTGTCTATCACTATTGTGTCGCTAGCATGATAGCAGAATACTCTTTTTGTAAATTTGAGTTTTAACATAATACAATTAAAAGAGCATTCATCAGGAAATGATAAATTGTTAAGAAAAATGCAATATGTCCATCTAGTGTTAATCATGCTGTAGAAGACAAGTAGTGTTCAGTTTAAATAAATAAATAAATAAATAAAAATGCCCTCTGATTTTAAGCTTAACATGGTATAAACCGGCATACAAATACTTGGCTATGTAGGTGAGAACAGTGGCCCAAAGAAAATGCCGACTGAAGGCATGGGCTAGACAATTTTACTTTGAATGTTGTAAAAAGGAAGAATTACTTTAAGCAATTTAGAAAGCAAGGCTTTCCAACTGGTGGTCCTTGGGAGGTTAGGTTGCAACCCCCAGACTCCTGTCTAGTCACCGCTCCCCACATCACTCAGGCTGCAACTGAAGCCAGAGTCTCTAGGCTCTCAGAGGGCAAGGCAGTACACTATGGCATGGTCAGGGGAACTGAGAATGAGCCTGGGGCCATGGGTGAGGGGAGGAGTGAAAGGGGGTACAGGACAGGTGAAACTACATGGTCGGGGGGAGGTGCACAGATATGTGGTCCAGCAGTGAGGAGGGTGCCTATCCAGTGTGCAAGTTGGAGTGGGGGGGATGGTTTTCTGTAGTGCAGACCATGGATGTGCAGGCTCCCTAAAGCATGTTCTCAAGATGCTTTACAAAACATAATATAGCGTTCCTTCATAAGTAAGTAAATACTATTACCTCCATATGACCAATGGAAATAGGGGAGGCACAAAGGATAAATAATTTACTGAAGAGTAAGTTGATGCACAGCAAATCGCCAATAGACCTAAAATGGAACCTAGATTTCCTGACTCCAAGTCTGATGCTTTAACCACAAGACCAAACTTCCTTTTTTACACAGACTACACAAAGTGTGAAGTAGCTACATAAACTGCTGGAAAAGGGAAGGGAAACCATATGATTCAACAACGCTGTTCTCAAAGTTAAGATGAAATACCAGATATGACTTCCTGAATTAAAAAAATATATATACTGCAGTGATCCCACTGGTCTTCTTCACCTTTAAATTACTGCTATTATGTAAAAATCAGTTGGACAAGATATCAGCTCTTAATTTCCTTCACTCAACAGAGAGAAATTAAAAATGACAGGGGAGCTATTCAGTCAGCTTGTTGCATACACTTTATATTTTTTCTTCAGAAATAATTACATAGTGATTAATTTTATTTAGAGTGAGAATTCTTATTAGATTTTCCTTTTCCATCTCCTTGACCATCATAATATCTGAACCACCTAGCTAGAGCTTGAAACAAGCTCCTTAAGTAACTATAACATTACTGTTCTCCACAGTTTTAATTCTATTGCTTATTCCAAATGTCTATCTTTCCTCAAGTTACAGGATCACCATATACTATAAACTCATAGAAGAGAAAAGTATCTCTAAAAGACAAATAGCTCATTGCCAACAGGGTCAAACTGCTAGATTTATGCAAATTATCATAGGATCATAGGAAATAGGACTGGAAGGGACCTCACAAGGTCATTTAGTCCAGCCCCCTACTCAAGACAATATTATCCCTGACTAAAGCATCCCAGCTAAGTGGCTCTCCAACCTGTTCTCGAACATTTCCAGGGATGGCTTATGCTCATTCCTTCATATACATACAGTCTCTAGGAACAAATCTTCAGTACTTTTTTTGTTTGGATTACAGTCTTTTCCTTTCTGTCCCTGTTTTTTGACAGATTTCTTAGTCTCCTTTTCCAGTACTGTCTGTTTATATTAACTTTCCATTATCATATTTATGTAAGTTCCTCTCAATTTTTTCTCTCTCTCTCTTTTTTTTTAAACTGTCATGGTAGTGCCTCCTCCTTTCAAGTACCTGATTTTTATTCTGTATTTCTTACAAGCAGAGCAGTCAACTCAAAGTTGAAACATGAAACATGCTCAGATAGTTTGATTTTTAATGGAATATAAACTGCTCAAAGCAAATTATGAGAATGATATTCAACAGATCTATTTTCCTTTAAGTTATTCTTGATGCCAAGTGAGCAATCCATACCAGTTTTGTCCAAGGAAGTCAACCAGATGGAGAGAGGTTTGTTCAGCACTCCGGACTGCTAAATGAAGTGCTGTTTCACCTGGCTCCTAAACATAAAAGGAGAGAAGGAGGTTACAAAATTAAAAGTCACTAAGGTAAGCACTTGAGACGCACTTCTCTTGCAAAACTCATCACCCTCTTGCCATATAGTTTCAATCATTTAACAGTTTTATTAACTGTTTAAATAGAAGCAGCATTAAGAAACATATGATATTGAAAATGACAGGCAAAAGCTGTTTATAAAAGTGCCGCATTTCCTTTCACTGTCCTCTTCCTCTCTAACTAGTTTTCCCCTTTGGTCTAATCAGAGGGCACTATCCTGAGATTACCTTCAATCATTATGCCAAATAACAACTAGTCCCATAAAGTAGAAGCATGGCTTATCAGGAGGTCTCAGTCCTCCCTGGGCTGAAGAACTGTAACCATCACTCTCTCCCCCTGCGATGACCTGGGGCCCAGCCCAGAGCAGCCCAGCCCAGCAAACATCTCAATCGCTTAGAGGAGGCAGAGGGATCTGGCCAGGGATTGAGAGGGATATGAATTAAATCAATATGTATTATGACTGTAACATCCTGTGGCACAGACCCTGCATTGTCACAAACCTGCAAAACATATGCACATTTACATAGCTATAGCGGTATATCAAGATAACAATCGTAACCAACATCATCTAATGAGAGTCAGTGCCTCCCGCTGGGCATCTGAATAAAACTGGGCCAATTTTCAGAACTCACTGACTGCAACAGGAGCGGAGAGAGCTCTCAACACTTTTACAGAGAAAAATGAGCCATTTTTTGTGAAAAAACACCCATTAAATGCCAGCAAAACTTAATTTTGTTTAAATTAGTGCAGATCATGAATGTTTCATAATACACCGAGACCAGTACACAGTATGCCGCTACATGAAAAGTAGCTGCAATATTGCCATTGATAGCAAGGATCTGAGTAGGACAACCCAGGAGGTCCTTTCCAGTCTCCTATCTTCCCCCACCAACCTAAAAGAAATGCATCTTGGAAGACCTGGTATAGCTCTAGTGTAGTTGCACCTGAAATGCTATTTTTGATTTCATCCTTGTTTTATGGTAGTGTTTTAAAGGTCATTCATCAGGCTGCCCTCCGAACACAAGCACAGACACACAAAAAACATGTAGGCCATGTGTCCTCTTGCTTTCTTCACTATACTATCATCATTTATTATTTCTATTCCAGTGCATTCCAGAGGCAGTTGTTAGGATCCTTTATGTTTGTAAAAGGTTCAGTACAAATACAATCCCTGCTCCAAGACTAACTAGGAACAAAATACAATTTGTACATGCTGAAAAACAAAGGTTGGTGCTTGATACAGGGGAAACAAGTTCAGTAACAAGAATGCCAAATCAGAGACTAGCCCTGCACACAAGTTACAGGCTTCCAACTTTTTTTTTAATATACTTAAAACAAAAGACTTTATGGTTCAGAAGAGTGCTTATTACAGACCCATCAATCCTCAGGGAGCTTACTGTGGTTATCACAGAAGAGATGGCTCCTCAAACATGACCTGAACATTATAGTTTTGTTAACTGATTCAGGAAGGGAATTTAATGCAAGCAGAACAGCACAGAACATGGTTCCTCATATGAACCTGAAGGCTGCCACTGCTGCGAGTAGAGGAGTAAGTTCACAACACAATAAAGAAAAATATAGATAAGTAGGGATGCACTGAACAGCACTGAAGTCATGGACCAGAAGCTTTATGTGGATAAGGGGAGCAATTGGAGGAACTAAAAAGAGACAGACATCCATCAAAAACACTGGACTAGAAAGAAATCGGGCTGCACTCAAAAGAGTGCATTCAGATTTGATCACTGCATTATTTGTCTTTCCAATTTCTAAAGTATACTCCCCTGGTTACTCTGCAAACAGATGTACAAACACTCATAATAGGCTCATTTAAACTACACTGAAGAAGATATACTGCATTGGCTGAAACCAGGGTTAGATCATGGGTAAAATATGCTGCTACTGTAAGTGCTTGCTTTTAAAAATATACAGCTTAAAATTACTCAGTATTGTTTACCTGATAAGCTTACCTGTCCGGGCTCTAAGAGCGGCTCCATTAGCTCTACTCCCTCTGCATAGACTTGAATTAGTGCAAGTAAATCCCTGGATCTGACAGCCTCAAGTAGTTCATTCAGTTTAGCTGCTGCAGATGCACAAGTCTTTCTAGAAAACCTATGGTCCACATACTTAGCAGTGATATATTCTTTACGTGCCGTCCTGGAGGGTGTGAAAACAGAAAGTGGGTTAGAATTCTTAGCAAAACTGACTGATAATCTAAGCTTAACATCAGACTTTACCTTGCTATGGCCCCTAGCACATGTTCATTTAATGGTACAATGGGATCTGATCCCTGATCCAAATAACCATGCCTCCTGCATGGCAGGATGCCAGACTGTAGCATCAAGGATCATATCCCCAAAAGGCCCCATTCTTACTTGCCAGTGCAGGGGGTACTAAGCTGCTTACAGCTGATAAACCTGAGTGATCCTGGCACCAGGAACAATAATCAGCAAAATGTTGGTCCCAGACCCAAGACTGCAGTGGGCCTAGTTCTATGCTCCAGTCCTGGTGCTGGAACTGATAAATCAGCTCCAGAACAGCACTGGAGTCTACCCCTAGCTCTAATTACTCTGCCACATGTTTAATTTTGTTTAAGACATGATGGAAACCAGCCACAACAATTGTTACTTCTTTTTAGTGGATATTTGTGTGTCTGGTTTCCCGTTTTGTCACGCCATTAACTCACTGAACATGTGGCAGGGTCACGGTTTATGGTTTGATTTACATGTTGATTGTGTTTTAATTGTACCATCTGCCAGGGGCCTTAGATTGTACCCCGAGAAGGGAGAACTGCATGAATTTCATGACCCTATCTTGTCATAAGCCAAGCCAGCGATTCTCAACATTTTTTGTGTAAACATCTTCCATTTCTGGTAATATTCGTCGATCCTTGATTCCTTGTATCATTTGGATTTTCAGGTTGGTAGGTTGTCAAGATTTCACTCGTGACATTGCAACGTATGGCCGGCCATATCCAAACATGGGTGAACACTGACTCTAGTAAGTGTTTAACCTTGGCTTTTGTTGACAGTCATTGCAAAAGCTACCCTGACATGCTTCTTGCATGTCTTAAAAGGTAGAGCTGTGTCTGATGGGCATAAGATGACTCTCAGCAAAAGAATGCATTTTCCAGTAGCATCTCATGTTATCACTTTTAAGACTATACTGTTGTTGTAAATACTTTTTACAATAAGTCTCATGCCATTGATTAAGACAATATTTTTATTCATATTTTGTAACAGAATCACCATCATCCCCACCATAAGCATGAGCCTATGGGGAGGCAAACCGCTTAGTGACAAATGGCTGAGAAACTTGGTCAAATATTGGATATCCTCATTACCATGTTTGTTATCTACACTATCTACACTTAATTAGTTCTTTCTTCTCCAATAATTCTGGAAACTATGCCCTCATTTATAGCATCACACTTTTCATTTTTGGGCAGAATCTGTATGGTGGAAAATGGCATCCTCCGACATGTCAATGCCACTGAACTACTTGCTTTAGTTACCTTCACTTAAAATGAAGTTTTCTGGTGCTCTGATAAGATTGAAACTATTTCTGTATGTGATCTTGGCCCCTTTCCCAATCTTTCTGAGATGAGCAGCAAATTGATCTGCTCCAGCTGTTGCTCTCAAGTTTAAAGTTTTTAAAATGTCTCCACAATCACGATGTCTTCAGATCGCTTTGGTTTTCATGAAGTCTCAGTGGCCTGTCAGTAGGGCCTTGCGAAGCTTCGGTTACCAATTGGATTCGGCGGAGATTCAGCCTGATTTGGTGGCTGTATCTCCAAATCAAATCCGGAGACCCATTAATCTCTCTGAATTGAAGTGAAGCTTCCAATTCGATTTGGAGAGATTTGATGATTTGGACAGAGACACACAGCTTTATATGTTTTTTCTACATACCTTAAGGTACTAGGAGGCTCATGAATGCTGAGATGGTGGGGTGGATGGAGCATCCTACGGGAGCACTTCTGGTCCACTTTTGGGTCCACTGCAGAGTGCACGGGGGACTCCTTCCCCCCCCCAGCAACTGGTGCCTCCTGGGTCTGTGGGGGCACTCGGGGTCCCCCCATGGCTAATTGCCAAGTAGTACTTCAGGTCCACTTCCAGGTCTGCCATCGAGCACCTGGGGGGTCCCCCCCCATGCTCCTGTGGGACGCTGCATCCACTCCACAAGCTCAGCATTCAGAAAAAACATATAAAGCTGTGTCTATGGTTGAATCGCTGATTCTCTGAATCAGAATCGAATCTTCAGATTTGGTTTCAGCCAAATCAAATTGAGGACAGTGATCCAAATCAGTGAATCAAATCCCTGTCCCCCGAATCAGGCCGAATCCAAATCGAATACGGCCCACTTTGCACGCCCCTACCTGTCAGGCCAGTGCTGCCTGACAATTTCCTTAAAATTTCATAGGTGGTACACACACATGCACAGGATCATGTAACAGGGGTTTGGGTTGTCTGCCAGGATCATGTAATGCTTTTTTATGGCACTTAAAAAAAAAAACAAAACGCATGTTTTTTCAGACCTTTTCATGGTTTTTGAATTATGTGCACACCTATACACTATAAGCTTTAAAATAATATGTGGGCATACAGTATGTATAAATATACCTTAAAATGTTCTTAGACCATCTACTCTTTAACATGTTAGTATATAGGTACTGTGACTAGCTAGAGAAGTTTTTTTTTAATTAGCTTCTCCTTTTTCTTGATTATAAATTTTAAACCTCTCAGTGGGGAAGATACAAGTGAGCACTCACATTCATATTCAGTACTTACATATCACTTGATGGAGTAGGTTTAGGCGAAGGACTAGGTAAATTCCCTTCCATAATATCATTAAAACTATTATTTCCTACATTCTTGGCCAGCTGTAATAACAAAAAAAAAGTTATGGTCTTATTTGCTACTGGTCTCAAACTTTCAAATAAGATTAATAATACTGAGTGAATAAAGAGAGCAGAAGCAAAAAACACTGATCTAATAGTAATTTTTTTTTTAAAGTACAAGCATAGTATTATAGGAACATATATTGGAACTTAGAGGTGCACCGATATATCAGTCCAATATCAGTTCGGTACCGATATAAAGAAAATTGGCTGTATTCGAAATTGGCCTGATGTGGCTGATAATTTGGACAGTAAATGCAAGTGTGTGCATGCAGTCACAGCACAGCATGCAAGCAGCAAGGAGCAAAGCCCGACAGCATGGAGAGCTGCCTCCAGCTGGTAAGTCCATTGTGGTGGAAGGGGAGAGGGGGAGGGAAGGGACATGGGGGGCAGATCAATTCCCCCCCAGTGAAGGAAGGGGTGGGGACAGGCGCTGCCCAGCTGAGGCGGGACAGGGCATGGAACGGAGGCATGGCTTGTGGGAGGAGGGGTGGCTTCTGCCGTTGTGTGCACACCGGGGAGGTTGGGGGGTGTGCCACCCAGATCTGTACAAGATGAACAGGCAGGCTGCAGGGGCTGGAACCAGGCTCTTCCCAGGCTGGGCTCGGGGTAGGGGCTATGGAGGGGGCTGGAGCCACCTCAGATTTTGCCGTAGCTCCCTCCCAGAGCTGCCGCTGCCATGCGCCTAGTGGAGCCCTAGCTCTTCCCGGAGCATGTACGGAGGCGGGGGTTAAGCCAGGAAGAGTTGGGGCTGCTCTCGTGGGCAGACGCCGCTGAGAGGGAGCTACAGCAAAATCTGGGGTGGCTGCAGCTCCCTCCATAGCCCCCACTCCGAGCCCCGCTCCCAGTGAGACGAACCTGGCTCCAGCTCATAGCTGCAGCCCGCCTGCTCATCCTGTGCAGATCCGGGGGCACACGCCCCCCCCAACCCATGCCTCCCGGGGTGTAAGCAGTGGTGCGAGCCACCCCTGTCGATAAGCCGTGCCTCCACCCCATGCCCCACCCCACCCCAGCTGGGCAGTGCTTGCCCCTGTCCCCTTCTTCAACATAGGGGGAGGGATTGATCTCCTGCCCCCCCTTCTACCACAATGGACTTCCCAGCTGGAAGCAGCTCTCCACTCTATATCAGAAATCGAATTGGTATCGGCTCATATGCCTCCTAAAAAACAGATATTGGTATCAGCCCCAAAAATCTCTATTGGTGTACCCCTAATAGGAACCATCCCACCCAAGTATCTGTCTAACCTACTCTTGAAAACATAGATTTGTCTAGGTAGCCTGTGCTTGGCCCACCCTCATAGTCAGAAAGTTTCTCATAATCTCCAAACTGAATTTCCTCTTCTGCATTTTGAGGCCACTGCTCCTAGTCCTGTCTCCTAGACCTATAGAATAAAGGTTATAATCACCCTTCAGTTTTGAATCTCTCCGCAGTCTTCTCCTCTCCAGACAAAACAACATTATCTCTTTCAGCCTCTCCTCATGCTTCCTAGCTGCCTAATCATTTCTGTCACTCTTTACTGAATTTTTTCCAATCTGTCCACATCTTTCTTGAAGTGCGGAACACAAACTGGACACAGTACTCCAGGTGAGGCCTCACCAGTGCCCAACAGAGTGGAAGAATCACTTCTCTTGATTTACAAGTGACACTCCTATTACTACAACCCCTGGGGAACCCCACTCAATACCCCCTCCCACCTAGACACTGAGCTACTGGGAGCAAGAGATAAATTACAAGTACTCATCTTTCCTAAAATCCAACTTACATGAATAGTAATAATATAGACAATTCAAAGTTTCAGTAACTTTAGTCTATTGCTAGTTAAACCCATTCACAAGCCTGACTTCCCAAAACCATTCTTTGCAATTTCCTAAACAGAACAGCAGAACATCAATCTCCTCTTTTGGGTCAAAGATGGTTTGTGGAGAAAAATGGACCACAACCATCACTTTTCTCTTCTATCCAATTCACAATATCTCTTGACAGTAATGCAGGACCTTTCCCTCTAAATTAAAAGGTTCAGCCAATATAGTTTACCACATTCTGCTCTAGCTACTCTCTCTCATAGACTGAAGTTTTCTCTCTCTCTCATTTTCTCTCACCTTGTCATATATGGATTTAGGCTTAAGACTAAAGAAAAGTAAAATTATGACCGTATGAATCATGGCAAGGTGAAGTTAAATAAATCTGTATGGAAAAAATGAATTTTTCAACAAGAAAATAATGGTAACAAGGCAAATTTACAGACTGCACAATAAAAAAACTGCTCCAAATTATTTACAAAATATGAAGATGAACATTTCTATTAAAATGCATACTTTTAAAAGTTATGTCTCTTTGATTTTTTCACCATGTATTCTTTATAGGACCATAGTATCAGACTACATATATCCAAATGATAGAAACTTACCAAGAGTTCAGATGTTCCTAATTTGTCTAATTCCAAAGACTGAATTCGAGAGATATGAACACCCATTTCTCTATGTATTCCAGAACACTCTATACATGTTAAAATGCCCAGATTAGTTGATAACCACGTTGGATCTGTAGAACAGTTCGAGAAATAAAATAATTAGCAAATGTTTAACATTTATACTTCCACTGCAAACAAATTAAAAGGAAATGGCCCTCTTCTTAAAGGATGTAACTATGAACATCTGATGCTTCATCACAAAACTGGAAGGGAAATTCAGTAAGCACGCTGCCTTCAAATCAAGCAAGTTGTTTTAAGGATCCACAACTTTTCAACTAGTAGTTAAGCAAAAGGTTTCAAACATGCATGAAGTCTGAAACATTAAAAATGAAGGCTAAAATATTCAAAGGCATCTTCATGAAGAATTACATTAAGCATTTCATTGGAGGTAGAATGGACATACAAAGAGATAAAATAAACTCTGATGCCAGTCTAGTGGAGCTGATCTCAACTGCCATGTGGGAGGCTTAGGTTTAGTACCCAAATAAGACTCATTCATGAAGTTTGCAAGAGGAGCATGGGTCAATCTCTAGGTTATCTTGGACAACTTTTAAATGGGCTGATTACAAAATAAATAAATAATAATAATAAAAAAAATGATCCTAAATAAATCTTTTTCCTTGACCAAATGAAGCCCTGAATCAAGAGTTTAAGAGTGAAAAGCAAGGGGAGAGATGGTTTGGAAATTCACTGTAAAATTGGAGAGGAAAAGATTAACAAAAAATATTTCCCCAAATTACTGGAGTTCTGAATGATAAACTAATGACTATTTATCATACCACAATATTAAAATTTTAATTTTATTTTTACAATGCTCTAATTTTGCATCGATGCAGGCATTATTGTTATATTCATCGCTACTGGATAATGTAGGTACCAGCAATTTACTATTGCAATGTAATACATTATTGGTATCAAAAGCCTTCTTCTGAAGCAGAGTACAATCCATTTTTCTTTTTTTTCCCTTTCTCGATCACCTCTGCCTTCTGAAAAACCTTTGAATGATGTGAAAGCTATGGTGGCTATCAGGCCTTTAAACAGGCCTATGGTAACTCTTAATTCGTATTGAGATCAGACGAGAGAAAATGAGTGATGTGTAATTTTGCTCTTCTGGAGATATGATTCTGGTTCCCAGCTGGATTCTTACGCTGTGTCTTCGTTCTCTAGTGCAAGACTGGGGAAACCACCATTCCATACATTTCTTACTAAACTGAGACCAGAGAGTAAGACTCAAGACATTATGTTTTCCCTGCTCCCTGTCTAACCATTGCTCATTTCTATTAAATAATGTGCCCAGAATCAGTGAACTTCCATTCAATTAAATAAGCATCTGGAGACAGTGAAATATCAATAGTTCAAAAAACCACGATCAGGTTTGAACTGCTGGAACAAAGTGCAGATAGCACAGAATATTTTGTTACAAGGGTTGGCAACCTGTAGCCCGCAGGCTGGATCCAGCCTGTGGATGTGGGCCTTTGGTGGCATTCGGCAGTGTCGGGCACGTCCTGTAGGTGTTCTCCCCTTGTTGCCATGGGGGAACTGCCGGCTGTGGGTGCTTTCCCTATGCAGACAGACAAGCAGAAACAGCGGCAGGGTCCTAGCACTCACCTGCCCTCCTGCTTCTGACGGGAGGTGGGTCATTGAGGCCCATAACTGGAAAAGGTTCTTTACCCAAGATTTAATACATTAAGCCAGAAAAACAGATAAGTTTTGTTTTTCTTTTTAGAATAGACTGAATAGGCTGACTTGTATGTCATTTACAAAAATAACTTTCATTCTACAAAAGCTTTTTTTTTTTTCTATTCTTGTTTATTCTTTAAGCCAGTGGTTTGGTAACGTTAATAGAAGAAAGATACCTGGTGATCCACAATCACAGCAGACTTCATTTCCAGGTAACCTCTGTATGTCATCAATAATGGCTTTCGTTAGATCCTCTAAACTGTTTTCCCCAGTGCTCTGCTCTCCACGGAATGCCATGTTTAAAGCTTCTTCTTTGCTGTTAGTCAACACTGATATCCATCTAACATTAAAAAAAAAAAAGTTTTTATGCTCTGTTTTTCAAATGCAAGTTTGTCTATAGTTGAAGCAAGTTTGCCAATGACAGACTGGGATGAAGTAGGGGAAGGACTATACCTAGGATGAAACTATGAAAAAGGGGCAGAGACTGACAGAATGAGGAAAAGACGGAAGGGGACAGATTCAAAGGGATACATAGGTGCTGTAAAACTGTGTGTTTTCTTGCCTAAAATTTATGTACAAATCCAGTGTATGATGGGTTTCTGTACTTTGAATGGAGACACTTGAGTGCCTTTCTGTCAGAATTCACAGCAGCCAGAACGATGTGCTTAGATATGCACGTGCCAGCCAATAGGAAATATGGACAGGGAGGGGATCTGGGATCCCATCCCTTTCCTGAAGTTAAGCCACTTGTATACAGTCCCCTGAAGTTTTGATTTATGCATGGCGACAGATTTGGATTCAGGTGTCATAAATCCCTGCATGGGTCAAAAACAAAATCCCAGCTGAATCTGGCATAAGTTTCTACACCCTGACTAACATTAGTGGTGTGTAGTCTCAACACAGCTAGCAAAGACAGCAAAGCAAAATTCCAACTTTAACTACTAAGCAGGGTTGCAGCTAACTTTTGTCCAACGATATGTTGTCTCGTGATACTTTTTCACAAGATTCACAAGTCCTTTTCCACTTTTCATTTTGGTTTCTTTTTCTTTGTTTTGTTTTGTTTTGTTTTTGGGGGGGGGGGGGGGGAAGAGGAGGGTTGCATGGATTCCTTCTCCCATTTCAAGAAAAAAAGTGGCTACACGAGTTACCTCTCACAAAAACCACTGCATTAACTGATACATACACAAATGGATATAAATATACACACAGATAGAAGATATATCGTCTCTTGACATAAGATATGCCTATTTCAATATTCACAATGGGTTCTGCACTTTTTTTCCCCATTCAAATGCAGTTTCAAAAGTCTCTAAACTGTTCACTGCCTCTCTATTAGTTGTAGCCTTGATGACATAAGCTTCAGATACCTCCCACACTTAATTTGCATAAATAATTGCTATAGCCTTATTGTCTGAGGAGATGTCCATGCTGAAAATGCAAGGACATATGCACTATGGTCGATATCATGGGTATCCTTACAAGTCCAAACACAGAGTTATGTCTAGATGGTAAAAGCCCAGCATGCAATGGGTGTCTAAACTAAATTTACCTTCAGTGAAAAAGCAGCATAAGCATCTCACAATTGTCATGCAAACCAGCTGTCAAAGCATTTCCATAAAACTTAGAAGTGCATCATAAGCTATATTAGGACTGACTGCTAAGGAGGCAATCAGTTCACGGGAAAGACTCGCGTCTGAGAGGGTCACAATATGGCAGAGCTCTGGTACATATTCTGAGTACACCTTATTATCTGATCAATTCAGTTGTCTCATAACAATTCAGATGTCTTATAACTGCCTCTGTTGGCAGCTTCACCCCTGCAACCCGGTTCATTTTTCTGCTTTTTTGTGATCCCACACTTTTTCACAGGGACCAGGCTTTTTCACAGGGGACCAACCAAATTCGTGATTTCTGTGAAAATTGCAAAATCGTGAACTTGGTAGGCCCACACTTATAACTGTCTGTGCTGCATTACTGAATTCCAACTTGCCTCAGGCCTACTTCACGTGTCTGGATTCACAATTCAAATGTCTAAGTTTCTGTGCATGTGTGCCACCTTTCTAATCTAGCACATAGGACAATTTTCACATAAGCACTTGAATGCATTGATGTGTGCCGAAATGGCTCATAGGCCTTCAGATACCTACATATATTCAGGACTTGCAAGTAAGACACCTGCTCAAGTCTCTACCAATTTTTTGAGTGTTATATACAATTGTATTTTCCTATTTTAAAAATGTACATCTTTTATTGGCTGCTGTGTGAAAGACCCAAACAAAAACAGAAAGAAGTCAGATTGAACAGGGCTGTCTACTGCACAAAACATGCAAGCTGAAAAACCAGAGAGATGTTCTCATAGAATCACAGAAAAGTTTTCCTCCAGTTTCTTTCCACTGCATCAGTCTTAGCTGACAGTACATTGCTGCCAAAAAATGTTTCAAATTTAATGTATCCTCAACCTACTGCCTGCTTATATGCTAAACCAGGAGTAGGCAATTATTTTGGCTGGAGAGCTGCTTAGCGAGTTTTAGTGAGCTGTTAGTATATTGTGGGGGGGGGGTGTATGGTGGGGGATTGTGCAGTTGGGAAGTGGATGGGTGAGTGTGGTGGGGTGTGGATGTGGGGTGTGTGATTGGTTGGGGGTGTGAGAGAGGGTATGGTGAGGGGTGGTGTGTGTGTGTGTGTGTGTGTGTGTGTGTGTGTGTGTGTGGAGGGGGCGCGTCTTTGGTGTCCCCAGAGTGTGAGCACCCCTGGCCACATGTGGCAGCAGTGTGTGGGGCCAGCCCCACCTGGCTCTATAGTGTGTGGCTCCCACATCCTGCCCTAGTCCCTGGCCGCACACGATGGCAACATGGGAGACCAGCCTGACCCAGCCCCATAGCGCATGGCTCCCCATGCTCCCAGGCCCCCTGCCCCTTACCTGAATTCCCAGTCTTGCAGGGAGGGAGGGCTTGGAAACAGTCACAGGGTGACCAGGCAAACGCTCTGCCAGGCAGAGGCTTCTCGTCTCTGGCACCTGTGGCTCGGGTGGGGGTTGGTTGCTCAGCACCCACAGTGGCACCTCCTGCATGGAGTCACTGGCTTTCCGAGAGGTAGCCAAGGGCCAGGGCCTGCGATAATTCTTTCAGCTTGCAGAGGGGCTCCGTGGGACAGATGGGATCATTTGGAGGGCTGGATCTGGCCTGCAGGCTGTATTTTGCCCACCCTTGCACTAAACTATGTTCAAGCAGTACACTGTCTTTCTACCCAGTTTCAACTGATTAGATTAGATGCATAATTTCAGACATAATGTTATAGCCCTATAATGCAAATAATTACTCAGGAGGAACTTTACAAATATTCAATGTGTCAATTTTTTATGCAAATATGTATAAAATCACAGCTCAAATGTGTAGGTTTGTGCTGTGCTCAGGTAATCTTTTTTGTCTTGTGCTGTGCTTAGTCTACCAAGGACAAATCTGGGAATTAACTATATTGTGTAAAGAGCTTGCACAGGAAGGTTAGTAAAAGCAACTTTAGAAAAAGGGGGAGAGAGAAATGTAAACACAAGCAATTTTTTTGTACCTATATGTACTGAAAAACAGTGGTACTACAATACCTTGACCTTGAAAAGTAAAACATGTAAGTGCACTCTAGGTGGCAGTCGCTTGCAATTTTGCTGAAGACCAGTTTGCCAAAAAGGAGAGCATTTTTGTTTCTGATACAAATATAATCTAGATACATTTAGATAATTACAAATTGAAATATTTGTTCATTTAAGAATTGCTAATTGGCCTTATATTGTAGTTCTTGACAAGTTGTTTATGATTGCAATTAGGAAAGGCAGGCATTAATGTCAAACCAGACGCATAATATAGCAATTTAAAAAATCACTAACAAAAGATGAAACACTAGTTGTACGAGCTGACCATTCGGCTTGACCAGATTTCCAAGGGTTCTTTTCTTTACTTGCACAGCAGCAATAGAGCAATAACAATTCTCTTTCTATTCCTTTTAACTAAGGAAATGAAGAAGTCCACACTTCTGCATATCACCTGATGCAATCTGTGAAACATTCAGAGCAGTCTCACACTGTGCAGTCTACCTAGAGATAATCAGCAGGACCATCCTAGCACAGGAACATTCATGCTGTTTCAAAACAACTGAAGCCATTTGCACAAAAAAAAAAAAAAAAAAAGTGACCAAGTCTCCAAAACATGTCATGCCAATAAACTTGGTGTTTATCCCACTGTTGACATTACAGAGCCTTATGTAATTGGTGTCTATCTTCTCCCCTCTCCCCTAACTCTAACATTGTCATATCTGTACAATTTCTGTTTGAAATAAATTGAGCATTTCAGCTTTTATTGAACCACTGGACTCAAGTTAATAAAAGAAGATAATCAGATATAAATCTGAAACAATCAGCATCATATATAATTTGCAAAACTTCTGACAAATGATGGCATATTATCCAAAGCAGTTGTTCTCAACCTTTTTAGAGTCTTTTCCAAAACTTTTTTTTTAATTTGGCAGCATCCCACTGAGAACTTGTACTTCCTCACCTTACCACTGCAGTTCTCAACAGGGATGCTGACACATGGTCCTGCCTCTATTAGAGCTAAACCCACTGGAGCAAAGGTTTAACTAATGAGTTTCGTGCCCTGTGCCACAAACTGATGCAAAGGGCTGCTCCAGCCCAGCCTGGCTTCCCTGAGCAAACAATGCAACGGGCTGCAGCTGGAGTGCACACTCTTGCCATTGCCCTTCCTGACTGGACCCTGCATCCTCCTCCCAGAAACAGAGGAATGCAGGACAGTCCCACCTGCTTGAAGTGCCTGCATTTTTGAGAGGAGCACATTGAATTGGACACGGAAGGGCTATGTGAAGAGTGCATGCTGCAGCTGTACCCCCTTCCTGATCCGTCTCTGCAGGAGGTGTGAAAGGCAGTTCCACGTGGCCACGGTGGCACCTCTGAAAGGTCTCGGGTGCCACAGCACCCTGGTTGAGAACAGCTGATTCAAATTTTAATTACAGATCATGTTTCTACAAAATGCACTATAAGCGAGTTTGTCCAGTCTTCCACAGTGCTTTTTGTGACTCAGGTGCCTGAGCAAAGGAGAGTGTTGTCCTTACATCTGCTAAGACACCCTGACTCCCAAAAGTTCGTTGCTTCAAAGAAACTGGTAGGGATAAGCTAAGCAGACATTCTGGGAAAATGCTGGCTCCACTGAAGTCAGTGCCACCGCTCTGGCCAATTTCAGCGGAGCCAAAATTTCTCTTAACATTGCCCCACGAAAAGCAGCCAATTTCTGATGTATTCATAAAACTGTGAAAGCCTTTCTTAGGAAAGTAGGTTAA